TTGTGTTAAGGCGCCAGGTCCATGTGGCGGAGTATTTGAGTTTGTCTAACGTAATTGATATGTCCGCATGGTCCGACCAAGTGATACTGCCTATGTCAGTGTGCACAAGCTTGGACATCCCTACTCCGTTGAGAAAGATGTGATCAATTCTCGAGTATGTGCCGTGTGGCGCCGAATAGTACGTGTAGTCACGTGTGTCTGGGTGCTGGAGCCTCCAGGGGTCTAGAAGCTACGTGTTCTTGAGGAATGTGTGCAATAGTTTGTCCTGTGCTCCTCTCTCCTGGGACCTGGGTGACCCTGTTTTTGTGCTTCTGTCGACTGCCGGACTTGGCACGGCGTTAAAGTCGCCCCCCACCAGTGTAATCCCTCCCCTTTCAGCGTTAATTATCGTCGTGAGCGTGTCCCAGTATGTAAGATCTGGTATGTTAGGCGCATACACATTAATGATTCTTATTTTTGTATTGTGTATGGTGCCTGTTATTATGATGTAGCTGCCCTCTGGGTCAGCTAGCGTCCCTGTCACCTGTAGTGGGCAGTTTTTGTGCACTAATATTGCTACTCCGGCGCGTTTGTGTAGCGCTCTCGCTTCGTGGGTCTGTGGGAAGTATCTGTCTTTCAGGGTTACTAATGCTGTTCTGGGTATGTGGGTTTCTTGTATGAGGGCAATGTCTGTCTTGCGTGATTTCAGGTCCCTTAACAGTAACCTGCGTTTGTTCGGACCCTTAACATTGAGAGAGGTAATTTTCAGGGCCATGTGTAGGGTGGGACTCTAGAGGTGTAGTGGTGTGTTTGTGTCAGCACCTACTTTGTTGTGTGATCTGTTTCCCACTTTCCGTGGTTGGATCCCCCTCGCCTGAGCCGCGGGCAGCAGCGGTGTTGGTTTGTGGTGTGTCCTTGTCTGTGGAGACGTTTCGCAGAGAACCTTTACTGCGGAAGGAAATTACACAGTTAGCAATTGAAAAATAAACATAAACATACATAAACAAAAACGAAAAACAGAGATTAAAACTCTGGTCTTACACCCTGCCAGAGGTGGCTGGGGGCGTGGGTTTTCCCTGTCCGGGTGGTGTATAGGTCCGGACGTATCAGTACAATAATGTACAGTAATTCTAGGTTGTGTGTGTTTGTTGGTATTGCTGGGGTGTTGGGGCCTCTGTGAAGGCGCCGGTCGAACTCAGCCTGTACTGGTGCAGGTGTCACTGCAGATGTGTTAGCAGGCGTCACCGGCTCTGAGGCAGTGTGAGGTGTGGTGATGATGATGCAGCTGATGTGGCTGCTAGGGTGTGTGTGCTGTATCGTTGGTGTGTGGCATGCGTGTGTCGGTGGGCAAGCAGGCACTTGCAATTGTCATGTTCGTTTGGAGCTGGGGTTGAACCTAAGTTCAGTTTTCTTTATAGGGTATGGTGTATTGGAAGGGTGTAGGCTAGGTTACCGGGTGGGTGCGTCTTTACGTCCTCAGTTGAGAGCAGAGATATTGGTGGGTTTTTTTTGTTTTTGTTTTTTTTGTGTTGGTTGTTTCACCCTTCTCTGATGTACCTTTGCATGTGTGTGGGGGTGTGATAAGCGGCTAACAGCCATGTCTCTCCCTTGTGTATTTGGGGGGCGGCAGGTAGCCTGTGTCTCAAAGTGCTACAGTACCTCAAAACCTAACCAGTAGACATATACCATACGACCTGGTTTGTGAATGTCTTTCTTCCCCCTCTTTGTGGTTGTGAGGGGCGGCTGGTAATTAAAGTCTCAGTGACAGGCTCCGCTTGATTTCTTGCATGTCCACGACGGCAGTGTCCGAGAGTTACCTCATGTTGTCGTGACTCTCCGCTCTGCGTTGGTGGAGCAATTCAGCTGGTGCCTGGTGTGGTGTATCAGGAGCCTACTATAGTTTGCGGTTTCGTGTAAGTCTTTTTTTGTGTTGGGGTCGTCTTTAGTTGCTTGATTCCTCTGTGTGGGGGCCTAGCATTCGGTGTGGTTCCTTTATGTCCTCTGCGCTGGCGGAAGATCCCCTCTTCCATGCTCGTCCGAGGATGATCCCCCCTTCTTTGCCTCTTGGGGGGTGAGCGTCTTCTTTGTTCCCTTGGGAGTCGAACCAAGGACTGCGCTGGGTCCATGGCGTACCAGTCCATTATGCATACCTCAGTAAGTTTCAGTGCTTTTATGAATGGCATCACATCCTTATATTCTGCTATGGTGTGGTTGGTCCCTTTGAGTGTGACAATGAGGGCTAGGGGAAAGCCCCATCGATATTTGATGTTTCTAGCGCACAGTTGGTCTGTGACCAGCTTTAGTTGACGCCTTGCCTGGAGGGTGAGCCATGCAGGGCCGTCTTTAATATTGATTGGACCCTGGGCAAGCATCTGTTTGGGCCCCCTGGGCATGCAATCACTCCCTCCACCCCAACCTAGAGGCGAAACTAATGTAGAGAGTGCCTTGGTGCAACAAAAAAAAAAATTCAGGCCTGCCCTGTAGCACAAGAGTAAAGAAAAGATAGATCCCCATCTGTCATACAACTCCTGCGATGCTATGGGGATCTACCATCCTTCCAGGGTTGTATTTTTGAGCAGTGTTTGTGCAAATGAATGTCAGCATGTTATTGTATAGAGTGTATGTGTGCATGTAGGAGTGTATTTGTATGTACTGTTACCATTGGAATGCAGTGGTGTACTTGTGTGTAGTGTTTGCATTTTAATGCAGGGATGTGTGATTGTTTGTAGTGTTGGCTTTTAAATGCAGGTGTACTTTTGTGTGTAGAGTTGGTGTTTGTATATAATTTTAGCGTTTTAATACAGGAATGTGTTTGCATGTAATGTTTGTATTTGCATGCAGGGGGGTGTTTGGATGTAGTGTTGTCTTTTAAATACATGTGTACATTTGTGTGTAGTATTAATGTTTCAGCAAACTGGTGTGTTTGTAATGTTTGTGTTTGCAGGGGTCTGTTTGCATGTTGTGTGATTTCTATAACACATATACACATACACATTAACACGCAGATACACACATGCTCACACTGACACATGCTCACACCTTGACACATACTGGCACATACACACACACACATTCAGATACACACCCTTTGACACACAGATACACTCAGATACACACCCTTTGACACACTTTGATATACACACACTGGCACATACACACACACACTGACACAGGTATATACACACACACTCAGATACACACATACATAAAGGTATAAATGTGTATATGTGTACAGTGCTAGAGATGGAATGTAGGAGTGTATTTGTGTTGGCATTAAAATGCTGGGATGTATGCATTACCACACACTCAGATGCACACTTACACACACACTGAAACACACACACAGGTGCACATACAGGTGTATGAGGTATACATACACACAGAAACACTGACACACAGACAAACACAGCCAGATACACACAAGGACATAAACACAGCCAGATACACACATATATATGTGTACATTTACATATTTTAATCTCTGCCTTCTAGCAGCTCTTGGACAGCAACTCCCAGCAACCTTGGCCAATATAATGTCTCAACTCTGTTCTTACATACCCTGGTCCAGAATTTGGCAAAAGTGACATTTGAAAATGGTGTACAGCCTTTGATAACACTTGATGCAATATGTTAAAATAAATACTTTTTACATTTATATTTAATAGGGAACTGTCAGGTTCTTCTAGGATTTTTAACATGTACTTATTCCCTGTGTGTTACATTACAAACACCAACACACTTAAATAAAAGTGATATCAGAAATTAGCAAAACAAAAAACAAAACATATTTAGCCACCCTCCTGTCTCCTTACATTTTGGGTACAGAAAGGTGGCTTCCCTGGTGTCCAGTGAGAGTTTGCTGGCCCAGGCTGATGGGAGTCTGCCATCAGCTTTCTCAGTCCCTTTCCCCCACAATGCTTGCATCCTCCTCCATGTGGTGTGTGCCTCCTCCCCAGCGGCACTGAGGAGGAAGTGATCAGTTCTTACTGGGAGGAAGCAATCTGACCTCACTTCCTCCCAGCATGCCCAGGAAACAAAGAGACTCACAGGGCAGTATGTGAGGGGCTAGCTGTGAGTATGTAGTCAGCCACCCCCCATATAACAGGGGCCCGGGCCGGTCCAGAGCAGTATTAAAGGGCTGTGGCCCCTGATTACCTCAGGTGCTGCAGGGGGCCCATGGGGCAGCTGCCTCAGGGCCCCCAGGAGTAACTGGGCCCGGGGCAGCTGCCCCTTTTGCCCCTCCTTAAAGACGGCCCTGGAGCCATGAGAGGTCTTGATAAATCTGAATCTCGTGCCCATGGAACAGTAGCGGTGGAGTAGTGTCTCTTAACTTCTTCAGTATTCGGTCTTTGTCTGCACAGTAGTGCAGGCAGCATATGATATCTCTTGGGGCGTCCCTGTTATTGCGTTTAGGTCTGAGTGAGCGGTGTGCTCTGTCAAAGTGGATCGGTGTTGATGGTGGTTTCTCTAAAAGTAAATTAAACAATTCTTGCAGTGATGCTGGTATGTTTTCAGCCTCCTTTTCGGGTAGACCCTTTATTCTGAGGTTGTTTCTGCGCCCCCTGTTGTCTATATCATCCAGCGATCTTTGAAGCTGAGACATGTGAGTTTCATGGGCTTCTAAGCGGTCTGTCAGGGTGGTCATTTGGGTCTGTATCCGTCCCCTGTCTCCCTCCAGGTCTTGGACACGAAGGCCTACCTGCCGGATTTTGGCTCCCAGACCCTCCATCTTGTGCTGGAAGGAGGATTCCAGTTTCTCCAGCATAGTGGCGAGGTCTGCCTTGGAGGGGAGGTTTTGAAGCAGGACCTTTATGTCTTGGTCCGCAGGGGCTGCTGAGACCTCGGATGTAGCCGGGCTAGGCGGATTGGAGAGGTGTTCTCCCGCCATCGGCGCCATGTTTGCCTCCCCTTGATCCGGCGTGCGGCCGGCATAGTCTTTAAATAGTTGCAAGACCGGCTGATTAAGGTCAGTTGGGTGCATCTTGTACATCTTTCATCAGCACATACAGCATTCTGGCGACATGCGTCCAGTGTCATTTTATGTTCTGCCCAGTCCTCCCATCAGTTTATCCTCCTCATACATTCCTGCCCTGCTGCAATGTGGAGTTCTGTCTAAAGTTTGGGAAAGGGGGGCAAGGAAAAGAGGGTTATTCTATCCAAAAACAATGTTTTAGTAACCCTTTAATATACATATATTATCATATATTATCACTGACCTATTTTATTACCAATATAAGTATCATTACAACACACATATAAAAAAGTGCAGTATTGCAATAAGAATTTTATATGTTCTTTAAAACCATTGCCCACACACCAGTTCCAATATTATCACTGTAATTTAATTTCTAGCTAAGGTTTACAGCATCTCATATCCAACAATTGGTTTTAAACAGAACAATATTAATCCTCAATTTTACTGGCTTTCAAGACTGTTATGTATTACACTGATCAGCCACTACCTTAAAACCATCCGCCTAATAATATTTAGACCCCTCTAGTACTGCTAAAGCAGCTCTGATTTGTCAAGGCATAGACTCCACAAGACCTCTGAACAAATCGAATCCACGGATTGGCACCAAGACATAAACAGCATATCCTTTAAGTCATGCAAGTTGCGATTTGAGGCTCCACGCTCAATCAGATTGAGATATGGGAAATTTGGAGGCTAAGCCTACACCTTGAACCCTTTGTCATGTTTCTCAAACCATTTCTGAACATTATTTGCTGCACGGCAGGGTGTATTATCCTGGTGAAAGAGGCCACTACCATCAGGGATCACCATTGGCATAAAGGGGTGTACATGGTCTGCAACAGTTTCTAGGTAGGTGGTAAGTGTCAAAGTTGCATCTACATGAATGCCACGACCCAGGGTTTCCCAGCAGAACATTGCTGGTGCATAACACTGCCTCCACTTGTCTACCTTCTGTCATTGTATGTGTAATGAAAACCCAAACACACAAACCCTAATTTACAACAAAGAATACAAATCACCATATAACTGGACCTTAGGATAGCCGGGCTTAACATAAGGAATAGTCTAAGGCTGGGCCGGATTAACATAGGGGCTGATGGAGCTGCAGGCCCATGTCCGTGGAAGAGGCCCATTGTTTACTACTCTTCACATGCTCTTGCTTAATTATGGAAACTTAAGAGGGATGTTGTAGGGGAAAAGGGGAACAAAACTTGTATGGACTGGCTGATAATGAAGTTAATTAAGCTGACTGCGCATTATGCAAATGCTCTTACTGCTTCAGTCTCTCTAACACTGTCACATAGTCCCTTTTTTCTACACTCTCTTAATACACTTTTTCTTTGTCCCAGACTGTATAACAGGTCTGCAGCTATACGACACCGTGCGCAGCAAACTGCGATAAACGGTGTTCTGCCAACTTTTTATTATAACCAGCTATGACGAGACCAATCTGGCCACTGTGCATTGAAGGAGCCTGGTTGCCCGCCTGCTGCCTTTAGACTATGGCCCCATGGTGAAACACTTGATTTTCCCCTGCAAAGACACGAAAACTGGGTCATTTGGTACTTGCCCTATTTGAACAGTGATATCCCAGATAGCTATGCCATGGAGCCCATTCGTATAATAAAAGACTATGTGAAAGACTTTGGCTCCATGGCAATTGAACTGTATGTATGTGATCTAAGCGCCATTCAGTAATAATGTGCGCTCAGATCTAAGCTATCTGGGGATATGTTGAATGTACCTGTTTTATGCAATAGCTGCACAGTTATATATTTTTATGTATTTTATTGTCTTTTGCTACCATGTGTTCAATGGAGTTTTGCCTCTGTCCTTGGAGATAATTGGATTACTTCCCAATTATCTCCAGGATAGAAGATTCTGTGGAACTGGTTTTGGGCAGAAAAGCCATGCGTCATTTGGTCACAAAGGACTACGATCTATCTTTTGAACCACTGGAGCAATTTGTATGATTTTGACGTATGTTTGTATTTGGAGTATGCTGATTCTGAAAATGTGAGTTTTTAAGTGAATGTGATGCATACTTTTAAAGTTATGAATAATGTGAAAAAACAGTATTTCTCTGCCTGTGATAATTACATTAACCCATTGTGTAAGGTAATTGTATCACAGGCAGAGGGGAGGATTTTGTGTGGGAGTGTCTGAGTGTATTGTACGTGTTGGTTGTTTTACAAAACCCTGTGGGTGGTACTAATGTGTAAGAATGTGTATATAAGAACAATAAACCCACAGCTCTGTCTGATATCTGCTTGACCCTCAATGCGGAGCCTTTTCTCATTCTTGGGGGGATTTATTGTATGCTGTTCCATTTCGACTGCTAGGAGTGTAAACCTTTCGTATAGTTTTTCCTATTCGACTGTTTACAGCATTCGTATGTTTGAGAGCATTCATATGCTTCTCCGGTTCGGTGGATTGGTGTCTACAGTAGCTGCCTGTATATCTGGAAGGGAATATCTCCTAAATGGCTTTTACCCCCTTCTATGCCTGGGGGTGCCATTACACCAGCACTATGTTTTTCGTCTGTGTGATCGGGAGCCTTCGCTCCCTACGTGCATCAATGAGCCTCGGGCGCCCATGAACATGAAGCCAGTTCACCGGTTGTCCTTTCTTGCACCACTTTTGATAGGTACTAACCACTGCATACTGAGAGCAGCTCACAAAACTTGCTCTTTTGGAGATGCTCTGACCCAGTCATCTAGCATTCACTATTTGGCCCTTGTCAAATCTTTTCACTTAACCATTTTTCCAGCTTCCAACACATGAAATTCCAGAATTGACTGTTCACTTTCTGCCTAATATATCCCACTCATTGGCAGGTGCTATTTTTACAATACAATCAATGCTATTCACGTCACCTGTCAGTGGTTTTAATGTTGTGGCTAATCAGTATATGTATTAATGTTTCCAATAAAAGTTAATATATTGTGCTCCGAGCATCCTCTTTTACACTGTTATCCGAATTCTAAAATAGGAAAATGTACAGGGAGTGCAGAATTATTAGGCAAATGAGTATTTTGACCACATCATCCTCTTTATGCATGTTGTCTTACTCCAAGCTGTATAGGCTCGAAAGCATACTACCAATTAAGCATATTAGGTGATGTGCATCTCTGTAATGAGAAGGGGTGTGGTCTAATGACATCAACACCCTATATCAGGTGTGCATAATTATTAGGCAACTTCCTTTCCTTTGGCAAAATGGGTCAAAAGAAGGACTTGACAGGCTCAGAAAAGTCAAAAATAGTGAGATATCTTGCAGAGGGATGCAGCACTCTTAAAATTGCAAAGCTTCTGAAGCGTGATCATCGAACAATCAAGCGTTTCATTCAAAATAGTCAACAGGGTCGCAAGAAGCGTGTGGAAAAACCAAGGCGCAAAATAACTGCCCATGAACTGAGAAAAGTCAAGCATGCAGCTGCCACGATGCCACTTGCCACCAGTTTGGCCATATTTCAGAGCTGCAACATCACTGGAGTGCCCAAAAGCACAAGGTGTGCAATACTCAGAGACATGGCCAAGGTAAGAAAGGCTGAAAGACGACCACCACTGAACAAGACACACAAGCTGAAACGTCAAGACTGGGCCAAGAAATATCTCAAGACTGATTTTTCTAAGGTTTTATGGACTGATGAAATGAGAGTGAGTCTTGATGGGCCAGATGGATGGGCCCGTGGCTGGATTGGTAAAGGGCAGAGAGCTCCAGTCCGACTCAGACGCCAGCAAGGTGGAGGTGGAGTACTGGTTTGGGCTGGTATCATCAAAGATGAGCTTGTGGGGCCTTTTCGGGTTGAGGATGGAGTCAAGCTCAACTCCCAGTCCTACTGCCAGTTCCTGGAAGACACCTTCTTCAAGCAGTGGTACAGGAAGAAGTCTGCATCCTTCAAGAAAAACATGATTTTCATGCAGGACAATGCTCCATCACACGCGTCCAAGTACTCCACAGCGTGGCTGGCAAGAAAGGGTATAAAAGAAGAAAATCTAATGACATGGCCTCCTTGTTCACCTGATCTGAACCCCATTGAGAACCTGTGGTCCATCATCAAATGTGAGATTTACAAGGAGGGAAAACAGTACACCTCTCTGAACAGTGTCTGGGAGGCTGTGGTTGCTGCTGCACGCAATGTTGATGGTGAACAGATCAAAACACTGACAGAATCCATGGATGGCAGGCTTTTGAGTGTCCTTGCAAAGAAAGGTGGCTATATTGGTCACTGATTTGTTTTTGTTTTGTTTTTGAATGTCAGAAATGTATATTTGTGAATGTTGAGATGTTATATTGGTTTCACTGGTAATAATAAATAATTGAAATGGGTATATATTTGTTTTTTGTTAAGTTGCCTAATAATTATGCACAGTAATAGTCACCTGCACACACAGATATCCCCCTAACATAGCTATAACTAAAAACAAACTAAAAACTACTTCCAAAAATATTCAGCTTTGATATTAATGAGTTTTTTGGGTTCATTGAGAACATGGTTGTTGTTCAATAATAAAATTAATCCTCAAAAATACAACTTGCCTAATAATTCTGCACTCGCTGTATATCCTTTAAATAAAAGCTAGCGTTTGCTTCAGTCCAGCTATTGTCACTCTTTACTCTTTAGTATCATTTGAAAGCATCTAATCCTGATACATTTCGCAGGGCATATGATGTATCATTCCAGAAGAATATTTTCATGTTTAGATTCATTTTTTTTATAAGATCTCAAAAATTAGGCATAGTATGTTAAAGGATCATTTTTAGTTAAAGTCTCAGCAAACTTTCTTTTTTTTCCAGTTGATGCTAAAATTAATGACACCGTTAAAGACAATTCTTTATACACAGAACATGTCGAGGGATGTGGGGAATCAGAGGTATGGTTGCAACATATTAGATATACTGTTGTACTACAGTTAAATATGTAAGAACTGTAATTAACCATGGCCCAGATAACACAGGATATGTGTGTACACAAACCAAAAGCGCAATTAGTGCAAATGAGATGTTAGCAGACAGAAACTTCCCTGTACAAGGTGAAGCTTCCAAAGGTACCCCGAAGACTTCCTCCTGTCTTACATGAAACATATATACAAAAAAATAGGGGATTATCTGACTTAATGCCTTTAACATAAATCCCCTCCAAGGGTTCAGTCTTCACAGTGTATTCAGATAACCATTGGTTGGCTGCAGTAGATATACTCAAAAGAAAGAATAAAGTTGAAGTGTGCAATCGAGTATGTAATAATAAAAAAAAAATGATTTCACTTCATAGAAGTTAAAAACAATAGGTGTAGTTGCTCAGAATCACGATTAGGCGTCCTACGCATTTAGTTTGTGTATAGGACTTTAGCAGTATTCATTTACAATCCTGAATGAATAGTAATTCCCCCTCCTCTCCCCAGTCCTTTTATACCTCCCCAAACATCCATCAAAGTCCAATAATCTATTTCAGGTGTTCTTCCGGTTTCTTCCAAACGTTGTGACATTATCGCAAATGCCGTCCGATGCCGTCATGCGTTCCAATATGCGTTCCACCGCCGAAACCCGGAAGCAGATGGAGCTTGCTGTTCGTTTTAGTATTCTTTATGTGACAACAAATAAAAGATAAAGGGGCATGGGGTTTATCCACATAAATTATACTCAACATAATTATCTGTTTCACTCACTTTTATTTTTATTAGTTTCATCTTATTTTTAATTTAATTTTTATTTCTAATTTTAATTTTATTTTAATATATTTTTTCATATTCTTTTTTTATATTTATATTTATTTTTTCTTATTTATTGCATTACCATTTATTTTACCATTTTTTAATATTATAATTTTCTTTTATTATCATTTTCATCATTATCATTTCTTCTTTATTTCAGAATTTTGATTTAATTTTTTAATTTGTTATTTTTTGATTATTTTCATTATCATTAGTCTTTCACATTACTTTGCTTTACATTTTACCAATGCCAATCAGAGATACCTAATCCTCTATGCCCCTTTGTTATTTATTCCCCTCTATTATATACCCCACATTGACTGTGAGCATGTCACATAAAGAATACTAAGACGAACAGCAAGCTCCAGCTACTTCCGGGTTTCGGCGGTGGATCGCATATTGGAACACATGATGTCATCGGACGGCATGCATGATGACGTCACAATGCTTGGACAAAACCGGAGAACACCTGAAATAGATTATTGGGCTTTTATGGACGTTTAGGGAGGTATAAAAGGAGTGGGAAGGGGAGGGGGAATTATTATTCATTCAGGATTGTCATTGAACACTGCTAAAGTCCCTGAGGAAGTCCTATACACGGACAAAATGTCTGGTGGTGATTCTGAGCAACTACACCTATTGTTTTTAACTTCTATGTAAGTGAATAAATTGTTCTTTTATTACGTACTCGATTGTGCACTACAACTTTATTCTTTCTTTTGAGTAAATGTACTCCAGCCAATCCATGGTGATCTGAATACACTGTGAAGACTGAACCATTGGAGGGGATTTATGTTAAAGGCATTAATACATTAACCATGTCCCGACTGCGTTTCTGCATGTGAATTCCTTTACCCATTATATTTCTATTGGTGCGCCAGGTCAGCAGTGGTTTATGGGAAATGTAGTTCAGCACTAGTTAGTAGTTCCATTCATAAAAACACCTAGATAAAACTTAAAGCTTAAAGACTTTCATGTGCAAACCTTTCTCTAAAAAGGTCTACATTTGCAAGTTTGGAAATCTATAGCAGCTAAAATCACAGATTTTACATGATGTAGAAGCATGCCCTTATCCACTAAGCTTTTTTAACAGTCTTCTTCATCAAGAAATTGTTCTTGTAATATTAATTAGAGCTTTGCTGCAACGAGAGGTGCATAGCGAGATTAAAAATCTCTGTTATAGTAAGAGGTTGCCACGTGGTTAACCCTTGCACTTACGAAGATTATTTAAAGGGACACTGTAGGCTGTGCACCAGCTTCATCTGCTCCAAACTTGTTAAAGTGTCTGGAGCCCCCTGGTGCTGTAATTTTATTAAGCACTGAATATATTTGAATGTTTTACAGTTTAATGCTAAACAAGAGTCCCCGGCAGCCCAACTGCACTGTGCCCCTTGGGCTAATGAGGAAGTATTAGCCTAAGCCGCAATGGACAGCTGTCATTGGCTGAGAGTGTTAGCTGACTGTTCTTAATCTATCAGAACTCCCATTCTTGGTACAAATGGGTATTATACAAGGAAATGTGTACTCTCTGATTTAGGCATATCTGCAATAGGGCTGTGGGTGGCCAGAGACCCGTATTTAGTGTTAAACTGTTTGAACATTATTTAACATGGAATAGAGGGAAGGAACCAGGGTACTCTAGTCACTATAATCATTTCAAAGAGATTAAATGGTTATAGTGACTGCCATGTCCTTTTAACTATTTTCCTGCTAGCTGTTAGTTCTGCCAGCGGGCAAAGAGTACTTGAAATTTTTATTCCGTTGCAAAAATCAAGTGAATGATAATTTGTGAATATGCATCCTGCTGAATGTATTCAGTACAACATTTTAGAAAACTGGTATTTTCTCAATATTCCAAATCCTTTACTTTGCATAAGGTTCAAATTCGAGAAGCACTCATTTAATTGTGGACGCAGAATTAACCTGGGTGATTTTTGTAGCTTCGCTTGGACCGGCCTGATTTGGCTTTAGTAAATACGAGAATTGCCAGTGAGGTTGGAATTTAGCCATTTTCATGTCTATCCAGTTTAGTGAATAGCCCTGTTTGACTTAGAATTACCTCCAATTATGAGAGATAGGAGTGTCGGGCAATATTTGAATTCTAACTAGACATATTTCTTACCTTAAAGGAACAATACAATAAAAGGAACTCTTTAGATTACTGCATTTCACCTAGAATCAGGACGACTCACCTTTATTCCACCACTAAGAGAGGTTGCTCACTACATCTCTGCTTCCTGATGACTTGTGTAAAATCAGATGCTTCTCGAAGAGAAGCATTGCAGCACATCACTTGCTTCTCTATAAGGAACTACAATTGAAAGCAAGCGAGACAAGAAACACTCCTGGCTGTGTGTTTGACAGCCAGGTGCTGTTACCAATGGGATTTATAAAACGGGATTTATAAAACTGCTGATTTGTCTCGAAATCAACACTTTTATAAAATAAGCCTGCAGTGACATGCAGCTACCCACTAAAGCACTTCTGTAAGCTTTGTGCTAATTTGATATGTCTCTTATAATTCCCAAAAATGTGTCCCTTCAAAGGAACACTACTGGTTATGTTGCCAGGAGAGCTCTTGCACTCTTCTATAGTAAGGAGTCAAACTCTTTTACAATGGACTGACTTCTAACGTTTTGTAAGTTTCATCTACCTTTCCCTTATGTCATATATGTATTGTTAGAATTAAATATTTGTTATGTTTTCCTATGTACAGCACTATGCAATATGTTAACATTATGTAGATAGTGGTATTGTAATTATTGGTCCACTGGGCACCGCTCCCCACCTCCACGACTTCCTATGGACAGCTGGAAGCTCTCTATTTGAGATAAGCCCAATAGTGCAGGCGCTTAGCTTAGGTAAGCTTCAGGAGGCTCCTGCTTAGAAACTTCGGGCTCTGTGTGGAAAGTAGTGGAGGCAGGAAGTGACGGACAGTGATCCCCACATAAGAAGTCAAACAATTCTAAAACCGTTTGATTTCTTACAATAGAGAAGTGTGAGGGCTGCTAGGGCACTTATGGCACCATAACCACTGCAGCAAACTATTGTTTTTATATCTTGTAAAACAGAATTTCTGCAATTTGATAAAAACATTGTTGTTTTCCTTGACTTGTATGTATGAGCCGTGTCTTGTGGTCTCTCCTGCATCCATCTTGCCTGTCTGTATAGGAAGAAAATGGAAGGGCTCATAAAAGGCCTAGTACACCAGAGACAGATTCTAGTGTATCCAGTGATATTTCACTGAATGACTCCGGTAATGGTCCACAACACCCATTGGCTGTCGAACAGGTACGTAGCAATGTATTTCTTGAACACTATATGTGATACCAAGGATGATTTTATCTGTACTAAAAATATTTTATTCGCTATATTTTTTCACACTGCTCGTGTTATCATGTATACAGAAATGAACAGCCTTAAAGTTACCCTCCAAGCACTATAACTTCTACTACTTTGATATCTAATGGTGTTATGAGAGTCACTGTCCTACTCCCCATGTACAGAACTTCCTATAATTGCAGTAGTTTGACAACAGAGGCTCATTGGATAAGATCAGACTCCATAACAAGAGGCTACTGATTGGTGGTGCCACTTCCTGGTCTGTGAACAGCTAAATGTATATACTGCTGCCTGTGTAAGTGCAGCAGAAACAACAAATCTGAAGGGGGTATATTTTTTTTATTTTAATATTTTCAATTAGTTTTTTTAATATATTTTAATGCATTATCTATATAATCCAAGCACAGAGTGTTCAATTAAATCAAGAGATATAAAAATGGTGACTACAGACAGGGAAGCTGGGACTTGATTCCAAACCCCAAAGAGATACATCTTTTGTAAGAGAAGAAGCGTTATCCCCACAAACATTGCTATTAAACCTGTGAGAATTGAAAAAAATAAATCATGGCAGATGTTCTTGCCAACTTAAGACCTTATGTCGAGAAATCAGGCCGTACTTCGTCTTATGATATCTTTTAATTCTTCTTCTTCATTCCAATCCCAGTCAATATGAGTATTTACTAAAGATTATAACATTTAAATACTCAGAACAGACAGAGCTACTTTAATAGCACAGTTATTGCTTCCAGATGAAATTGGTGCTAATTTGACAATAATATATATAATAAAGCAAACAGCAAATTTGTGGGGAGTCCAGATAGATAGATTAGATAGGATAGATAGATAGATAGATAGATAGATAGATTAGACAGACAGATCGATATATACTGTAGATAGATAGATAGATAGATAGATACTGTAGATAGATTCTGTAGATAGATAGATACTGTAGATAGATAGATAGATAGATAGATACTTTAGATAGGTAGATAGATAGATACTGTAGATAGATAGATAGATAGATAGATACTGTAGATAGATAGATGCTGTAGATAGATAGATAGATACTGTAGATAGATAGATAGATAGATCCTGTAGATAGATAGATAGATAGATCCTGTAGATAGATAGATCCTGTAGATAGACAGACAGACAGACAGATAGAATGATTGTATAATATATACTATATATATTATAATGATATATGATTTCCCATAAATTTGCAGTTTGTGACAGCTTGTTATTGGGAATATTTTTCATGAACCCAGCTAATGGTATCCAACTGCATGCTTGCAAATCCACACAACCAAGTATTGAATCAAAAAGACAAGGCTCACTGCGCAGCTCAGGGGCAGAGGTAAATGGATATTATTGATGTTTCTTCTTGGCATTTCACCCCGGTAAACACTTTGATGTTATTTACTGGAATGAAAGGAAAAAATGTGGGAACATGATACCAACTTTAAGTCTCAATTTATACAACACATTTCATGTGTAATAATATCACATAATGAGTTAAGACATGGAAAAAGATGTTAGTGATTCTAATTGTCATTTTACAGATCAAAATGCCTAATGGCAATAAATACCAGTAAAAAACTGAATTTCTTCCTAAGTTCTTGCTTGATCATTTAGAAACATTGCTTTTAAACCTTGGGCTGTTTACTGTTTTTATTGATTTTTAAAAAGGATATATATATGAACAATCAGCCAAATGAGTAACATACAAACAGAGCTTTTACAAAGAAAGGAATGAAGGTCAAAGCCACATGCTCTTACAGTAGAGCAATTGTAACAAATTCATTTTATGTGAAAAAAAAAACCAGGAATATAAAATAAACGTTGGAATTCTAGAAGAGAGCATATTAGCAACAGAAAAAAGAAGCAAGTGTAAAGAGAAGACTGGTATAGGAGAGATCAAATTACTAGAGCAGGCACAGGCAACCTTCGGCACGCCCGATGTTTTGGACTACACCTCCTATGATGCTTTACCAGCATTATGAGTGTAAGAGCATTATGGGGGATGTAGTCCACAACATCCAGAGTGCCGAAGGTTACCTATCCCTGTACTAGAGAAATAATAGATTGATAATATCTGTTAGATGAGGAATTATTCTAGTGCATTATGTAAGTCTGTACTCTCTCAGTTACAGCTTGCAATGGAAATTCATATCTGATTATTTATTTTATTAAGAGCATTAACTGAAGACTATTCCTTCTTCTTTAGATTGATTTGACTGTTGATGATGACCAGCTTGCCATGACAGAAGACCAAATATTTTGTGAATATTGTTTTAAGGCTACAGAACCTTTTCCAACAGCCGAACAGTTAGCATCACACCCCATGCATAAAGTAAGTAAACAACAACTATAACGTGTTATCAGCATCTTCACATTGGCTTACCATTTTATCAACTGCATATTTATCAATTGTTCATGGTGTTTCAAATAAGCAAAGCAAATTAACTTCAATAGATTCACTTTAGAATAATCAAGCAGCAATCAGCCTATATACTAAGTAGAATTCACTATAATAATGAGATAATGCAACACTCTTGGTTCATGTTGTCAAACAAGGTGTTGGGATATGGGATTAATACTTGCAATAATAAGCCAGAAACTACCCATGTTACTTTTCACTTTGGCATTTCCTCATTACCAGCCAGTGTTTTGATTCCCTCTCCTCAGCCTAATGAAATATATAATCTGTGACATAACATAAAACATAATGTAGAAAAAGAGCGCAAGAGGAAAGCAACCTATTTGAAAGGCTATAGTAAAACTTGCGGGGTTATTCACTAAGCAACACTTTTTGTCTAGATGGACTGAATCTTGTGAAACTGACAAATTCCGACTACGGTGCAAAATCTCTTATTTTTCCAGCCTGAACAAATATATATAATATTTCACATTACCGCCATTAGATAAGTGGAAAGAATCCATGTAACAATTCCAGTTTAGCATCAACAGATCCATTGTATCTAGTGAAATCTAAAAGCTAGATACATAAAATTATTTACACGGTTTCCCTTGTAACTAAAACCCATAAATGCCATCATCCATTCATCTTATGATAAATAGGGCGTTTCTCCCTTTTTGTTTCTTTATTTATACTTATGCACAGTTTTAGAACTAGTATGGTGTAATAATAGGTAGCTAGTTCGATTTAGCTTATCTATCCCCCATCAATTTGGCTAGAATTATAGTTCTCCATTGGTTTTATTTTCTCTAGTGCTCAGTGTTATATGGAATAGTAGGTCCCATGCTGTATTGCTTTGGTAATTGAGGTTATGTTGTCTTCTTTTCCCCCTCCTGTTTGCCTATTCCCCATTTAAATTAACCTTTTGCGATAGAAGAGGGAGATTTTCAGAGAGACTTTTCTTTATTTAGCCTAGTTCATTAGCTTTGATATCTTTAAAGAGACAGACAGGGTACCATACTATTAGTAATATATACCTCCTTTTTGTATAAATATTTTTTATTTTATTTTTTCGGAAGCGTTCCATTTCTCTAGTTCGACTAAGTAATTAGATTAACCTCTTGCTTCACAAGAGTAATTTGTATGCTCAGGGGAATAATGGACAAGATGGGCACGTTTTGGAAACAATTTTGGAATCCTATATTTGTTAATTAGGAAGTTTATTGTGCTAAATTGGAAAACTATATTAATGGATCGATTGCATTTTTTTATAGCCTAGAAATGAGTTACTTTTCCTTAAAATATTTAGGATATTTGGTTAAAATGATCTTCCAGGGGCACAACAAATTAATAAAGCCGTTAAGTGGGGAGACACACCTTTATTCCAAGTTTTCTCTATATCATAAGATGAATGGGTGATGACATTCCTGGGGAATAGTTTTAGTTACAAGGGAAACCATGTTAATACTTTGTTTCATTTATGTATCTAACATCTAGCTTTCATTAGATACTCTGGCACTGTTGATACTAATCTGCAATTAATACTTTAAAGGGACACTATAGTCACCAAAACAACTTTAGCTTAATGAAGTGGTTTTGGTGTATAGATTATACCTCTGCAGTCTTACTGCTCAATACTCTGCCATTTAGAAGTTAACTCGCATGTTTATGCACCCCTAGTCACACAGTCTCCCTAAACACATCCTGTAAAGAGTTACCTAATGCTTAACCTTATTTTATTGCAAATTCTGTTTAATTTAGAATTTCCTATCTCCTGCTCTGTTCCTGTCTTGCTAGACCTTGCAGGAGCCTCTTGTATGTGATTAAAGTTCAATTGGGGTCAGTTGACTACTGAATTGTAAATATAAGCCAAAACAACTAATATGATTATTTACTAAACTGTGAATTAAAAGTAAATTTAAGAGTAGCCAAACTAAATGCATAGTTGACTTAGAGATCCTTTTTTAAGGTTGCATTTTGTCTTTAAATTTGAAATTCACTTTAAATTAACTTTTGATTCTTACGTTAGTGAATAACCATGCAAGCTTCTGGCCTACATTTTGAAATTTAACTGACCATGAATTCCAGTGCATGGTTTAGTCTTTAAATCCAGAGTAGTACATCTAAGCCTTTCCCTACAGCAATGTCCCAAGGAGCCACTGACATGTCTGCAGGATCACCTGGCTGACAGCTGCTGTCTCTACAGTATACACAACCCAGTCACTGTTGGACGCTTCTGTGTGTGAGATAACCACATGTGTTCTTGTCAGTGAACTGTGAATCAGTCTTGCTCTTCCATGAATCAAGAATTGCAATACTATCCTGTGCAGACTACGTTACCCCTTTGAATATTTCCAAATTTCTACTGACATCTTTCTGAATGTGTCTAATACAATGTGTCTAATGCGCCTGCGATAAAATAAATATATAAGATTATATGTTTTAAAAGAAATTCAAAACTCAGAGAGAAAGATTATGTAATATATGTGTGTGTACAGGTGTATAAAATCAAGCACATAGCCATGCAGTTTGCATTTACAAACATTTGTGGGGGAAAAAAATGGTTCATTCTTAAGAGCACAGTGAATTCAACCGTGGTACTGTGATAGGACACCACCTTTGCAATAAGTCAGTTTATGAAATTTCATCTCTGCTAGATTTTCCCTGGTCAACTGTAAGTGGTATTAACAGCAGCAACTTGAATAAGTAGATCACGTTAAGTCACAGAGTGGGGTCACCAAGTGCAGTCTAATGGTTGAGTCTGGGGTTGGCTGATGCCAGGAGAACATTGCTTATATGACTGCCCTGTGCCAGCTGTAAAGTTTGGTGAAGGTAGGATAATGGTATGGGGTTGTTTTTGAGGGTTTGGGCTAGGCCCCTTAATTCCAGTGAAGGGAAATCTTGATGCTTCAGCATACCAAGACATTTTGGATAATGCTATACTCCCAACTTTGGGGGAACAGTTTAGAGAAGGCCATTTTCTATTCCAGCATGAATGTGCCCGAGTGCACATAGCAAGGTCTATAAAGACATGGATGGATGAGTTTGGTATGGAAGAACTTGACTGGCCCGAGTCCTGAATCTCAACCCCATCGAACACCTTTGGAATGAACTTTATATATAAAAACATGCATAATACCCTAATACTCAAACACAGCATGTGATATGATGATAACTATGAATACTAGGGTCAACGGTTGTTGCTAGTCCTATGGCTATAACATAATGTATCCATACAGAAAATCTTACAAACCAAGGGTAGAGTAGCACATGGGGACACTTACTGTGCAGTCTTTACAAATCAATAACTATAAGCAAACTGTTTGCTATACTGACAGTTATTTCAATATAATATGCAAATATGCTGTGGAATAGGGCTGCTGAAGTGGAGGGAAATAAACAGCATGCAAAAGTGAAAGCAACCTACACACTCCGGCTATGAGCATGTTGGGCAATTCAAGTAAGCCAGAAATTCTGTGCTGCGGCTGCCAAATCAATGCGCCCCCCCCCCCCTTCAATAAAGACTGTGAAAAAATGCTGCTGTGCAGCGATGACAGTCGTGATGGATAAGTTAAAACAGTCTTCTTATTTTGGAAACAGAAAAATATTAATGTGAGCAAAAAATACTTAGGCAAGTGAAATAACACTTCACCAAAGCAGATATGTAGCAGTAAACACATGATGACTTTATTATCCCAGATGTCTATTTTTTTCATGCAAGAAAGGGGTTAATTAAGCGTATTATCATGTCACCAAGGTTCTAGTCCCTCGTTAGAGGACTGCCAGTGAAGACAACTAATTAGGGTCTTTGCAAAGTACATTTTTATGAAACAAGTAGACTCTGTTGCTCACAATCTGCATTACTAATATGCTAATGAGTAATTGCTGCTATGCCGAAGGACTTTTGAAAACATCTTGGATTATTTTCTGTGAATTATTTTTTATACTGTCAATATTTTCTTGTTTCCTTAAAGCAGATCTGTCATTTCTGAGTTTTTCATAAAGATGGAAAAATATTGCACAGGAATGTTCAAAAACATTCCAGGAGAATCAAAAGGTATACATGAGGCAAATTACAATATGCCTTCAAGGATAGCACAACAAGGCAGAACTGGACTATTAATTCTTTTCCAGCTGCCTTGCATCGCCATCCCCAATGAAATGAGGTTTCTAATACAGGCAGACTCATTAATTTTCTTTCTAATTACAAGAATAGAGATTACACACTCTACCAAAGCCAATTTTTAACATTTAGTTAAGTAGCTAGAAAGCTGAACAATTTGTGTATAACAAGTGCAGATCTTGGCCGAGTCACAATTTGACTCATCGCTCCAAAAAATATAATGTTAGAGCTCTAAAACACAGTTTCATGATTGGGAATGTTTTAAACACTGGGTACAGCTGGCATAAATGTACTGTATCGGTGGTATACTCCTCTACTTTTGTGATACGTTGGTAGACACAGTATTATATAATATACTGTATGTTGTTACTGGAGAAGTGATGGCTCTAGTTGTTATTGGATGTAATGTTTTTTATGTAATAGATTTGTGTAATGTCATTTAACATGTGCACTGATTTGAATTAGAGATGGGAGTAGGTTTAACCAGGCTAAATGCTTTTTGTTTGTTTTGAAGCTGGAACTGATGATGTTAGTCTCTTCCTGTCCCAGGAAACCTTATCTCAGACCAGTCCACTAATGATAGAAAAAGGGCATCATCATTGAGCCGCAGCAGGAGAGAGAAACTGAAACTGATCAGTCTCCCTCTCTTCTCCCCCTGTCAGGATGTTGCAAGGTGAGATATTCCAACTGCACATGTGTAAATCATGTCCAATGCTCTTCCTAGGGATAGGACACCGATTGGTTAGTTCAGTGTCCCCCCCTGGAGTGGGTGTGGAAGCATAAGAAAGGAGAAGCAGGTTAATATGAGAAAAAAATAATCATATTTGCCTGTTTTTCAGCCTGCAGAGTGAAACAAATGCTCTCATTCAAAGCAAAAGCTGTAGTAAAAGACAGTTTTCTGAAAGTGATGCATGTCCTATTAAAGTTTGCTCTCCACTGCAAGCCTGCAGGGTTATATAGTTAATAGCAAATGTTAATGTTAGGTGTATTTCTTGAAGAAAAGATTAATATTGTGGCTGCTTTGTTGCTTACATCTTTACAATTGCCATTTGGTTAGACAATGGACGAGAAATTATGCTTAGTGGTCAACTAAAGACAACAAAAATATCTTATATCCTTAATAGCTTTCAACACTTAAGGTAACAAAGAACCAAAGGAAAGATTTTTTTTCCGCAGCTATGGCAACAAATGCATTAAATGTGAACTCTAAGGAATGCACCCAGGGAGTAACATGAAATAACATTTCAGGCACTGATTTGCAATTTGCATTAGTGTACTAGTAAATTAATGTATATAAATGAATGTCAATGCACTTCAAATTCAATAGACTCAAAATAAAATGTATTCCAAGAAATTCAAAGAACATTAAAACACTTGAAAAATTTTTTACAAAACTTTTACAAACGACAAGCCAAAAATATACATACCAAAAACTGATTTTAAAAATAAATAAATAAAACAGACCATAAGAGCTCTATTATTTTGAAAGCAACACAACCTCCAATATGCGGCATAAAAAATTTGTCTGTAAAATCGTCCAGGCTCCTCTGGATATTTTATTTCTTCTGAAGAGTCCTTAATTTCACATCCAGGCCTCCTCCAGTTGTGACATGTGATAAGTCTTATCGCACATGATATGGGGAGATTATGTTTGTAAAAACTCGCAACAAGTAATAGGTATCCCAATCGACAGGGGTCAAGCACTGGGGAAAAAAGTATGGGAACTCACCCCCACCCCCCAAAAAAATAATAATAATTATACGCTCGTATGCATATATGTTTCTCAGAAAATACAGCGCAACATTTTATTGTAAAGTGCCAGTTTACAAAGACATCTCCAAAATTCACATACAATAAACAAATAAATATAGAACAGTAACAACAAAATAAGTTAACTTGTTTGTCATACTAACAGAATAATCGCCACAATGTGTGATGATCTTCCCCTCGCGGGGAATTTCTAAAACAAATGGTGTATAAAAAAACAAACAAACCTAAAAACATAGCCCATTAGAAAATATCCCACAAACTGGAATAACGTGGCCCTTGCCGTGCAAGATTATCAACTTTATGAGATTTAGTATCTGCGCTGCAATGTGTGGTCAGCCATTTTGTGACGTATGGTAAAGGATCCCATAAATGCACAGGAGGGCCAATGAGACTAATAAACAAAAAACAGGCATTCAATACCAAGCCCACTCCTAATGGGTGACATGATCAGTGCATTTATTTGATGATTTTAATGGTATTTATGTACTGCGCGCATCCGACCCTACTTAACACCAGATGCGACTAATGTGCTGGTCCATTCCACTATCCTTTCTCGCCTTGACTACTGTAATCCACTTCTCAGTGGTCTTACGTTCTCCCAACTTGTGCCGTTACAGTCCATAATGAATATGGCGGCGAGGCTCATCTTCCTGTCTGCCCACACCCGCCATGCCTCACCATTCTGTCAATCCCTACATTGGCTTCCTGTAAGATATAGGGCTCAATTTAAAATTTTGGTTCTTGCCTTCAGTTCTCTACATAATGCTGCTCCCACCTATCTATCCTCCCTAATACACAAGTATGTCCCGTCTATGCCCTTACACTCTGCTGCAGACTTACGTCTATCTTCTGTCCATAATCCCACCTCTGATGCTCCCCTTCAAGACTTCTCAAGGGCTTCTCATAGGGCTGTGGAACTCACTTCCCTCCTCCGCTAGATGCTCACCCAGTCTCCATTCCTTCAAAAATCATTAAAAACCCACTTCTACATAAAAGCGCATCAATTAAACTGTTTATAGCTCCCAACTGATTCCTCTCTTGCAACTGTCATTAGTCTAATACTATCCTTACCTTTTGTGTCACTTTACCCCACTCGCTCTAGCATGTAAGCTCATTGACCAGGGCCCTCAACCCCTCTGTTCCTGTGTGTCCAACTTGTCTGGTTACAACTACATGTTTGTTCGTCCACCTACTGTAAAGCGCTGCGGAATTTGTTAGCGCTATATAAATAATAACATAGTAATAATAATTAAATTTTTTTAGCAAAACAACATAAAAATCATTTTGATTATAAATGGAAAAATTGGACCCACAGTGCAGAAAAGCATCCTGTTTAAGACACCTACAGACAATTTAGTTTTGCAGACTGACAGATATCAGTATCACAATACCACCATGTAACACACAGAAAAATAGGTGGAGCAAGTGGTGATAATTAAATAAAAATGTACTTCCCTCTCTTCTAACTTTCTCACTGTAAAAGATAGAGAGGTACAAAATAGTGCAGATATTTCTATACACAAAATATTAATAAAATATAAATCATATGCACTCACAATGAGAGAGCCATATAATAAAACCTGGCTCTGGTATGGATCTCCTTTGGGATCTTAGTTGGGTGATCCCCAGACCTCTTTGGTGGTGCTTGTTGGAGTATGTCTTCCTTCCCTTTCAATGATGGGCAATGGAGATGAAAAAATGTATATTCCCGAAAAAATATTTATTCAAAAAATTAAAATGGATATAAGTAATACAAAAGGTGAAATCTCTTAATGTCCAGTATAATTGCCAAAACGCGTTTCGCCAGTGTGGCTTCCTCAGTTGGCATAAAGTAGTAGTGTCCTCTAGGTTCTTTAAATATTTTTAAAATCGCGATCAAATTTCTTCCGGTGGAATGCATCTATGCGTTCCACCACCTCCTTCCGGTTTCCGTAGCATCTACGTCACTTCCGGTTTCGGCAAAAGTTCAATGCATTCGGTGTAACGCATCCATGACGCCTGAATAGAGAGGATGTCTTTACACATACTCGACGAGACCGGAAATGACATAATCATCCCGGAACCAGGAAGAAACCAGTGGAACGCATGGATGCGTTCCACCGAATGCATTGAACTTTTGCCGAAACCGGAAGTATTACTTATATCCATTTTCATTTTTTGAATAAATATTTTTTCTGGAATATACATTTTTTCATCTCCATTGCCCATCATTGAAAGGGAAGGAAGTTTTATTATATGGCTCTCTCATTGTGAGTGCATATGAATTATATTTTATTAATATTTTGTGTATAGGAATATCTGCACTATTTTGTTCCTCTCTATCTTTTACAGTGAGAAAGTTAGAAGAGAGGGAAGTACATTTTTATTTAATTATCACCACTTGCTCCACCTATTTTTCTGTGTGTTATATGTTATCTTATGTGAAGGTGTAGGGGATACCTCACTGGTGTTTAGAGCAATTATCACTTCTGTAGACATACCTGTTTTTATTATTTCACAATACCACCATGATTGATAGAAAGCTATCTTGAGGTTTTAAGCCAAGGATATGTTCCTAAACCCAAGCCCAGCATCGTGTCTGCCAGTTAGTGAATTGTGTGTGGATTCAAATCCGACAGACAACCACAGTTGCATTAGCCATAGAGTTCCCAGTTTCTCAATACATTTGCTCTATTTCATCAATGTTTTACATGCATGCACTTTGGTGGAGATTAATAAGATTGTTCAAATGAGGCTGAATGGAAAACTATAAGAATTTTTTTTATAAAAACAGCCTGCAGACATCTTGAAGATGTACCTCTCATCGGTGAGGGCTTTGAAGAAAAAGCAATGCCTAAGGCAGGGGTAGGCAACCTTTTAGCAGCACTGTGCAGATATAGGATTGTGATGTCCCGTAGCGTGCCGGTCCTATTTTTTTTAATTGAGGTGTTTATGCTACCGTATTCTGCTTGTGTTATTTATACTGTAATTGCTTTGTATCATTGCATTTGTACTATATGAGCTATTATATTGTATTTGTTCAGGAGTAGTTTATGGTATTGTGTATGATACAAATGAATGTGGACTGTGTATGGGGGCTGCTTGTTGCATTATGTGTGTGGATGAATATGTCACATTTTGTGTTTGGTAGTGTGTGTATGTGTGGGGGCTGTTTGAGGTATTGCATGTGAGAGGTTGCATGTGGGGTTGTGTGCATGTATGTGGATTGTTAGCGGGTTACGTTTGTGCGGATTGTATGTATGTTTTCTTTGTGGGCTATTCGTATTATTTGTATGAGGGGAGGGTTATTCTGCATTTCTGTGTATATCTAGCAGTGTGGTGGCTTCCCTGGGTTCCAATGGGGACCAGGCTGGCCAGGTACAGGTCAAGGACAGGAGCTGCAACAGCAGCTGCAGGCTGCTTTACTGCAGTGTGGATTCCCATTCACAAGTGTTGGGAGGAAGTGATCTGAGATCACTTACTCTATGTGCTGCAATGCATAAATTGAGGATTGTCCTTCACCACCTTTTAGTATTAGCAGATATCTGAAGTTTCACTGGGACTCCTGATAGGCCAGTGCCTGTTTGGCTGTAGCAGCCTTGAGTGCCGTGCAAAGACATCTTGAGTGTCGTGCATGGCACTAGTGCTGTAGGTTGCCTACCCCTGGCCTAAGGGATTGTGGGGAAAAATAAGCTCTTAATTAGGTACCGAGCACAAACTGACCAATATTAACTAGGATTTGTTCAACTATTTTTTTGCTTGCTGATACAGTGTG